CGTCCCCAATCCCCTCCCCGAGACAGTCGTCGATACCACCTCCACCTCCGAGACACACGTCCCCAATCCCCTCCCCGGGACACCCGTCCTCAATCTCCTCCTCGAGACACCAGTGTTGCAGTCCACTTCTTCTCCGCAGTCCTTGTCTTTGGATATTAAAGTTGATTGACAAAGACGACCAGGACGTGCTGTTGTAAGTCCATTTCGACCCGAGGAGAACAGACGTTATTCCAAAAATGAGGGCGAGTTTGAACGGTTCCTGAAATCTAAGAATACTGAAATGTAAGTACATCCAAAAGATCTTTAATTGTTTATATTAAAAAAAAAATAACTTTCTATTATATTATTTAATAGGAGGAATGTCGGCATTCCATATGCAGTGGACAAGGAGTGGTTTCAGCTGTTGGTTAATCCGAATGAAACGATGTATAACGAGGTATGTATATGTTTGTCTTGTAATATCTTAACACATAAAAATAAATTGATGGATGATGTTTAGTTTGACTTTATAAAACAGAACGTTGATGCATACTTGGGGATTATGCAAAGCAATCCACTCTTTTTGGACTTCCAGCCACGGGTAGATATGTTGAGCACTTACACCATCGTGTCAACTACGTTTTTTGTGAGATTATTTTAATCCTCTCTCTTTTCCTTGTCATTCCATTTTTATTAATAATTATATTAATAACATTATTATTTATTACTATTATGTTGTATTTTATATAGATGATGCTGGAGGACTTGGAGAAGGAGATCAATAAGGGGGGACTGGACCCGGACCCGGAGATCCTCAATTCTTTGATTCGTATTGCGACTGAGGGGGTCAGCGGTTGGGGGAATCCGTGTCCTTGGAGGGAGATTCAATATGTAAGTTTTCAATGATTCCGAATCAATTAATATTGCAATCTTTCCTAAAAAATTAGTGAATTTCTCACAACTCAATGCAACAGATTATTGGAGTAGTGAATTTGACCGGCCACTACGTGACTGTCCAGATCTCTTTACACAAGGGGATGATACGTGTGTTTGACTCTCTACGGCATACGTATTTAGAAAAGAAGAACGAGCACATTCGCGAAAATCGCATCAAAGGACTGCAAAAAATCCAAAATCTAATTCCAGTGATTGCGACGTATGCGGAAGTAGAGGGAATGAACCAAAAGTTTGAATTGGAATTCATGGACCCCAAAAATACTATCTTGCAACATGATAAAATTTCTTGTGGTGTATGCGCTGTGGAGATGGTACGAACATTGCTCACGAGGACGATGCGTTCAAGAAGTCTAACTATCAGTTGGTTAAAGCAATGAGACACAAAATTGCTCTAAAAATTTTTCAGTTTAGTACAGAACCAGACACAATTACCGCCCCAGTTCTTTAATGATTCATGTAATACATTTTTATTTTTATTATTTTTTTTTTATTTTATTATAATTTTGTTGTTTGTTGTATGTATGTGGCATTTCTATTTTCTCATACCTGAAAGAAAAAAAGTTAAACTAAATTAAACGATGAAAAATGAAAGAAATAAAAAATAAACTTTCGAGTAGACGTGCGAAGGTGGTATGGGAGCAATATGCGGCAATTCGCATACACCATCTCATAAATGAAATAACTGAAAGATGAAAGAAATAAAAAATAAACTTTCGCATAGAAGTGCGAAGGTGGTATGCGGCAATTCGCATACCCCATCGCATAACTGAAATAACTGAAAGATGAAAGAAATAAAAAATAAAAACTTTCGAGTAGAAGTACGGTGGTGGTATGCGAGCAATATGCGTAAATTCGCATACCCATCGCATCACTTAAATAACTGAAAGATGAAAGAAATAAAAAATAAATTTTTGAATAGAAGTGCGTAGGTGGTATGCGAGCAATATGCGGAAATCTGCATACCCCATCGCATAACTGAAAGATGAAAGAAATAAAAAAATAAACTTTAAAGTAGAAGTCCGAAGGTGGTATGCGACGAATATGCGAAAAATTGCATACCCCATCGCATAACTGAAATAACTGAGAGATGAAAGAAATAAAAAATAAACTTTCGAGTAAAAGTGCGAAGGTGGCAATTTGAATACCCCCTCGCATAACTGAAAGATGAAAGAAACACGAAATAAACTTATTAAAGTTATTATGCACCAACTCTGCGAATACTATGCGACGTTGGTATGTCGCAGTTGTGTCGCAGAAAGATTTTTTCGACTAATAGTCGCAGATTCATTCGCCTAACAAAAATAATTATTTAATGGGCGACGGGCCGCGATTGATCGAATCGTACATCGAATCTCCGAATATTCATCGTAGAACAGTCGCATACTTTAACTCATAATTTTTTCGCCCATGCTCATACCTGTCACTTATTTAGCGCATAGTTCATCGCATATGTCTTCGTTCTTTTTAGGGTGAAAAACTTAACTTTTTATTAGGTGGTGTGAAAAACTTAGTATAACTTCAGAACGGGGTGAAAATAGCTATTCCCTCTTTTTAAAAACTCGTGTTTTCCTTATAAAAAGTAACGGGACGTTACATAGTTTCACCTTAACCCTCTTGATCCAAATCATGGTCCATTTTTTATTAATGGCTTTTGGTGCCTTTTCTTTTAATTTCTTGCCAAACAGCACTGGGTTATTTAAAAAAAAAAAAAAAAATCTCTTCTCTGAGGATTTTTTTTTTTTAATTTTTTTTTTTGACCTACTGAATAAACATTGCAACAGATCAAGTCTCGAATCATCTTTTTGTCCACGAATTATGATGAATTCAAATGGATATTTCTAGCAAAACAAAGAGGGAAAAGTAGTCTTTCAGCTACAGCATCTTATCGGCCATCATACAATTTTTGCCATACCACCAGGCACGATTCAGACGATATGATGACGAGTACAAGTTCTACATTTCTAGCACAAAATACCATGAAAGCCCACTTGTAGACCCATACCATCGGAGAAGTTCAAGTACTTGCCACCACATCCCAACGCCATATCGTCCCATCTTCACAGCAGCATAAAATAGTGCTGTTGGCATACAGACAACAATGCACATATGCTCCAATGTCACATATACGCATAGATACATACATACATAGATATATATAAAATATAGAGAGGGAGGCTCCAGAGTTGTACCTTCCATCAAAGGACACGGCCGTCAATCGGATAGGAGACTTTGACTGAACATGGGATAATCTGATGATGCACTTTTAACTCAATAAACCCAACAAATTTAAGTAACGAAAAATAACTTTGTTTCAAAATTAACTCAACGCGAACAAAAAAAAAAAAAAGTGCCCCTAAAAAGACCTGTACAGAACACATTGCAAGAAAACAGGGAAAGAGACAGACCTAGCAATGAGAACTGGGGGATTAGATTGCACTTCCCACACAAATACTTTCCCTTCTCTATTTCCTACACAAAATCAAAGTCAACGAGAATGAGATTGTATATCGACTGCAACTTTAAAAATGTAGATATGTAACACTTTGTAATGGTGGGACTTACCTACTGCTACTGCATTGTAGTGAAAATCACAGGAAAACTTGATAAACCAAATATCACATTCAGGAACAGGATATTTTTGAAGGATGTCAACAGTACCCTACACATAATTATGCCATTTAGATATTGGACAATTCAAACAAACCATAATCATATATCTACGATATGTTAATTAATACCGCTGGATTCCATTCAAATTTCTAACCTCTCCTGGAGATTGTTCTTTCATTTTTGGTTCCCACAATACGAGTTCACTATCAACACTCTGCAGTACAATCAAACTATCAGCACTCATTGGAAAAAGATACACACTATCTAGTCAAGTACCAAGATTATCAAAAAATAAAATTTTCTCCCCCTTTCAAGTTTACCCAAAAATGAGTGAGAATTACCTACTTTGAAGGATGAGAGGTTCTCTAATTAATCATCTTGGAGAAAGGTTTATCTAACCTTAGAGAGTATAAAATCACCAATCCACCGGTTGCAGTCAACATAATTTGTATGCACTGATGCAATAAATATCTGGAAAAATATGAATCACAACAGTTTCCACCACAGCCGTTATAGGTACCCTGGCATTGTAATGAAATGGAGAAATGGGGAGAAAAAAGGTACGAAAATACTAACTGGGAACTGCACATATTTCGTAGGGAACTTGGAAGGAAGATCAGTCCAAGTAAATGATTTCTCTACGTATGTCCAAAACTCTGCAATACATCCCATTCATACCAAGCAAGATCAATGAATCAACGGGGAGGGGCTAATCTTATTCACAAGCAGGGTAATGTTTGACTTGTAAAAACTTCAAACGGATTTTGTTGATACCAAATTGTGAATACAACAAACGCGACTGCATATGGCTTTAATACAGATCTAGATAAAACACAGTCTATTTTGTTGAGCAGATTGAAAGGACAGAGCTTATTGCTGATAGCTGGAAGCTATTAAAATAAGGAAGTATAACTAATTTAGCAAATCATAATAATAAATAAATATATCCAAAACCAGTAAACATAATTAGAAATTGTGAGCATTGCAATCAATAAATACTTTATTTTGTTTACTAATAGAATCATTCAGAAAATATTTGTAATAATAAAGACATGAATTCATAAAAGAAAGTGTATTTAGCAATAGAGAATGTTATTCATCAACAAAATAACTATTCAATGTAGCTCACTCGGAATATTAATGAAGAAATTAATGATCGGGAGAGAAAATGTAATATTCCGAAATTAATGATCGGGAGAGAACATGTTATCCGTTCCGACAGCTAGCATAAAATAACATAAAGCGAAACCAGTTTACCTTTCATCGACCAGATCTTGACAGTGTTATCCATTCCACAGCTCGCAATGCGATAAATGTCAGATGGATGGAAGTCCTATGATAGCATAAATTTTGAAAAGAGAATGGTTCAAATGTCATATCAACAAAGAAGCCCTCCTATTACAAACAACTTAAAATCATCTTCTAAAAGATACAAAAATAAGAATAAAATGAGGGCGGGTTCGAGTTATATGGCAGTTTGCATACCACACTAAGAACTTCATTGCGATGGCCACCAGCACCAGCAAATATCAAAATGCAAATTCCTGTATGAACATTCCACAGACGTACAGATTCATCCTGACCCAAAAAAGAATTCATTAAGGTTCATGCGAGTAATACTGCATAATCATTGATACTCCTCCT